TCTGAGTCCCTCATTTTCAGTTTTTTCCTAACAAAAATAGCTTAATAACTCCCCTCTCAAACCAATTCTCCTCTCTGGCTAAGATGTGTATCTCACTATCTTCAAAGGAGCGGCCTGTAGCTTATTTTAATTTGCCAAAGATGTTCAGTTTGTCTTCCTATATACTTTAAAAAGAACCCAAGAAGTTATTTTAATTTGACCAAATAAACTTTTGTCCAGTTCACAAATTGAATTTCTCCTTTTGCCATGGATTCTACCTGGAAGACTGAGGGATTTTACTCAAATCTAGTGGTATTTAAAATTCTAAGTCTGATGAAACACATGATCTTACATTATTATCTCAAGTGTCGTAACGTTGGCTTGTAAACCAACCAATCAAGCATAATGTTGTGATTATGTCAAAATGCAACCTCATTAAACAAACTGATATACATGAGAGATATTACCGCCTTTACAAAGACTGGGCATATTTAGTACAACTCTCTTACTTACTTGTCTGCTTCTAAAATAGCAAGATGATCACCTAATACTTCTTAGTCACTATCTTATTTGTCAAACTGTTGGGTTGAATGTTAGCTGTTGTACACTAGTTGTTGAAATGAGTTTTATGGTCCACAGTCTTGGGCAGATGCATTTCGGAGCACCCCTTCTCTGTCTGGGGTGGTACATGTGTATGATGATCTGCGGAGACGAGGTTTGGAGTTCCCCATGACGGACCTGGACGCTCTCTCCCCCATCCACACTCCCACCAGGGTGAGTTCCACACAGTGTTTTTGGTTTTCCTCCAACACTAACCCTAACCCTTCACTTCTTTTTTTCCACTTGCTAAATAATGTAATCGTTGAGACTTGACAAACTGTCCTATATTACGCAAAATTGACTCATGTGAGTTTTAAGCCAAGTTATAATGTTGTTACCTCATCAAAAAAAATTTATGTGGAGTTGTGTTTTGTTTCATTCACACATTTTCTTTATAATTACTCTGTCTACATCTGGAAAGCTCAAAATGCTCTCTTCCACCTTATGATGTGTGATTTTACCTTTTGTCAGTGTTGGGGAGTAACAGATTACATGTACTGGAGTTACGTAATCAGAGTACAAATTATGAGTAACTGTATTCAGTTACAGTTACTGTTTCAGTGAGTGATAATTGGATTACAGTTACTTTGTTGAAATAAATTACACGGTGGTATTTTCCTGTTTTCACATTTTGAGCTATATCCCCTTCTTTTTTTTTTTTTTTTTTCTGTAATTCCACTCATTGCCGGAAGCTAAACCAGGTCTGAACCAGGTCTAAACTAGATCTAAACTAGATCTAATTAAGGACTAAACCAGGACTAAAACCAGCTCTAAACTACATCTAAACTAGATATAAACCAGATCTAAAACCAGACCTAAACCAGGTCTAAACCAGGACTAAACTAGATCTAAATCAGGACTAAAACCAGCTCTAAACTAGATATAAACTAAATCTAAAACCAGATCTAAAACCAGGTCTAAAACCAGGTCTAAACCAGGTCTAAACCAGGACTAAACCAGGACTAAACTAGATCTAAACTAGATCTAAATCAGGACTAAACCAGGACTAAACTAGATCTAAACCAGGTCTAAACCAGGACTAAACCAGGACTAAACAAGATCTAAACTAGATCTAAATCAGGACTAAAACCAGTTCTAAACTACATCTAAACTAGATATAAACCAGATCTAAAACCAGATCTAAAACCAGGTCTAAAACCAGGTCTAAACCAGTAACCAGTCTAAACCAGGTCTAAACCAGGTCTAAACCAGGACTAAACTAGATCTAAACTAGATCTAAATCAGGACTAAACCAGGACTAAAACCAGCTCTAAACTAGATATAAACCAGATCTAAAACTAGGTCTAAACCAGGACTAAACCAGGACTAAATCAGGATTTAACAGGACTAAATCAGGCTGCGTGGACATGTCTCCTTCTCTTCTATCAATAATATTTTTAATTTGGTTCAGTAAAGTCTGTTTTTTTTTATTGTCTTTTACCAGACAAAAATGTATGTGAAGATTTCCTCGTCTTTGCTTCTCTACAGCAAATCAAGTAATCCAAAGTATTCAGATTATGTTACTCACTTTAAGTAATTTAATGGATTCCGAAACTACATTTTGAGGTATGTAATCTGTAATCTGTAGGGCAATAGATTTTAAAAGTAACCTTCCCAACACTGCCTTTTGTTCAGTAGAGATTCACAATTCCAGGGCTAAAATCATCCAAATGATTGAAGTGAAGGCGTATGGAGTTTAAAAGCACAGTGGAGCACAGGTGGAAGACAGTGTTTTCATTTTAAGAGAAGCTGCAAGATTTGTGTGTTAAACATGCGTGAATGAAACAAAACACAATTCTAGATCTGTTTTTCACAAGGAAACAACATGATAACAGATTAAAAATAGGGGCTATTTAATGACATTTCTCAGGGTGACATCTAGAAAGACTTTTTGGTTTAAGTTAAGTTTAGTTTTCCACCTTGAATCCACTCAAAACAGATTATTGTTTTGCCCAAGAGCACAATAACAGTATTCATTTGAGAGAGCAAGAGAAATACTGGACACGGAGCCGCTTGCTGTTACAGTGTTGTGACATTTTCTGTTACCTGCTGTTATTTCTCCATCAGTTTTCCAAAACAGGAACTGATTTCAAAGTGGGATTAAAGTGTGCTTTAAAATCACTTTCTCAGACAATAAGCAGCACAACTTCCCCCTCACTGGTTTATCTTTTAATTATTACATCCATTTTATACTATTTTATACCTATGTGCTTTTGAATTTCCCTTCATAAAACAATATAGCACTGATGATTTTATGTTACATCAAAAAATAAAAAGGGAAATGTAAGGTATTAAAGGGTCCATATTACGCTGTTTTCTAATCTATGTTATAATATTGTTTCCTCATCACAAACACACCTGGAGTCGTGTTTGTTTCATTCACACGTTTAACACATAAACACATATTTAGGCTGAGTTCTTCTCTCAAACTGAAAACACTCTGTTCCACCTCGTGATGTCAGGTAGTACTCCACTGTGTTTTTAAACTCCATATGCCTTCACCAGAATCATTTAAATAATTTCAGACCTGGAATTACCAATCTCTGTTAAACAAAAGCTAAAAGGGTAACTTCAAAAACTACCGCTTCTTGACATCACAAGGTGGAGCAGAGCATTTTGCGCTTTGGAGATGTAGACAGACTAATATAAAGAATTATTAAAATGTGTGAATGAAACAAAAGACAACTCCAGGTCTATTTTTGATGAAGTAACAGCACTCTTACATGGCTTAAAGGTTGTATGGAGGATTTTTTTTTGTTTCAAACTGTCAATGAAAGTTTAAAATACCAGTACAGAGACGCAGCAGCCTTGTAAATTATAATGACCAAAAAAAAAAAAAAAGAAAATCTATCAACTGTGGACGTAGTGAGGCCCAATAAACATCAACCAATAGATAACGAGGCTCCCTCATTTTCTATTGGCTGTTAGGTTGTCAATCAAACTCCCTACGTTTCTAGTGTAACTGACTCGCCGGCGCGCGGGGATTACGTGGTTTATGCAGCGGTTCTTAGAGGATTTTTAAACTGTCGCTTCCTCGCAATTCGCACAAAGTTTGTTGCGATGGAGGACGAGAATCCACGACAGGTTCGCCGCAAAAAAAAGTCCGTTTTCGAGGTCGCTGAAAGAAGAAGAGAAGGGGAAAAGGAGCGAAGACAAACTGAGGTGATTCTTGGAGATCTCTTCCAGTGACGGCGCGAATGAAGCAGACGAAGGGTCTAAAAACTGATTCGTCGGTCGCTAAATTATTTCTAGACAGGTCACTTCAACAGTAATTCTGAACGCGCACAGGCTGTAAACAAGCGTGATTTCTAGAGTAAGGAGGCGGGAGGAGGTGTTTCTGTATTTCTCTTTCCTTAAAAAAATCCTCTGTACAACCTTTAATCTCAATTTTAGACCTTTAATAATCTTCATAATTTATAACACAATAATGTCATTGATCCTCAGAGTATCCCTGAAAATGGAACCCATGACGTGACTCCGCCCACAACTCACCCTACAGTGACAGAACCTCGGCAAACTCCGCCCAGTCAGAGTGCTGCACCTACAGTTCGACACAATGATGGACCAGTTTCTCTCTCTGCAGAACAGGTGAAACTAATACAGACACAGCTAAAATAAATCTCACAGCAAGGCATTATTTTCATAGAAAGAGCAAATGACAAAAGCCTTAAATGCTGTAATTACTACCACAAATTTAAAGTATGTTGTACGCAAATTATTTAAGATCCTAAATCATGCAAAATTCACTCTTTTGCAATGTCATAAAGGTGTTACATTCTCGAAAACATACCCAGAGTTGTGTTTTGTTTCATCCACACATATTTGAGCAATACTTTATCATTAGTCTATCTACATCTTCGAAGGTTGAAATGCTCTGTTCCACCTTGTGATGTCATGAAGTGGTAGTTTTCAAGT